CCCTCAGGTGATGGAGATGTGGGTCCAAACCTGCAGAGAGACATCCCATAGTCCCACCAATGGTGACTAAGGAAGTGCTCCCAGCTGGCAGTCTTTGAAGCCATGCTTCCACTGACCGTAATCCTGGAGGAGGGACCACAGGCAGCTGCTGGTGCCCAGGAAGAGATGCAGAGAAGACAAAGACAGGATGGTATGGAGGGGGCTGGGGGCCACGGGGATGATGGGAAAGCACCACTGGAATGGACACAGGTGTCAGGAGGGCCCTATGCTGAGGAGGCACCCAAGGTCTGGGGACAATGACACATCTGCATATCAGGCTGTTTGCCACCCAGGATCTGCTCAGTGAGGTCCTGAGCCAGGTGGGCCATGGGACTGAAGCTCTGCCTGGGCCCAAGCACAAGCAGTCTTCTTCCCAAGGCTGGTCACTTCTGGTTGCCCCATCTACCCTTGGCAAAAACCAACAATACATCTGAAACAGTGCTGTGCCTGGGTAAACAGACCACCTCCCTTGAGGACCTGGCCCCCTTCCTGCAGGGCTCCAGGCCTGGGAGCTGCCTCTCTACTGCAGCGATTTTCTGAGGGCCTCGGGAGCCCTCCATGGTGAAGCCCCTGCTGAGATGACCTGTCCGAGCCAGTTGAGAGAGGGTCCACATGGCACAACCCTGCCCACAGTGATCCACTCCAGTGTGGACGACCACCCCAAGTCCAGAATCCTCAGTTCATGTGGTCATCGTGCTGACAGGATTGGCTAGATCTGAATTTCTGCTGAATTTTTGCTTATTCAGGGACCCCAAGCTCACCCTTCACCCCACCCAAGTTTGCCCTGACTTGTGAAAATGGAGCAGGTCCCCCAGGAGGATGGCATGAGGGTACTTGGCTGACAGGCAGCTCAGTGCCCATCAGCAACTGTGTCAGTCTCAGAAGGATAAAGGAAGGTCCCAGAGCCCCTGTCCATTTGGGAGCCTTCACCTTGCAGGACTTTGCTGTCAGAAATCAGTTGGTGGTGTGATGGGGCCCTATAGGCTCAGGTCCCTCATGATTCTGTCCACGCCTGGCTACGAGTTTAGAGACTTGGACTGCTTGCTTGCTTCTGGTGTACAGTTTGCTGATTATAAACATCAGAAATCAAAGCAAAGACAGTTTTCTGGGAAGATAATGGGAACCTTATGAACTGTTAGGGGCTGAGGAACAAGCATGGGAAGATGGGGCCAGAGGGTCCCAGGAGGTCAGAGCAGGAGGCACAACAGCGAGGGGAATAGGAGTGGTGGCTAGAACTCCCCTTGAGTTACCTCCAGATGGCCATAGCTGTGGTCAGCTTTGTGCTGACCCATCCCAGCCTCCAAAATTAGTTTTGGGTCCAAATGGAGGTAAAGCCCCAAGATAGAGACCTGAGGAGCAAATGGGCTCTGTCATTCCTGCTGGGGAGAGCTCCTAGGACACACAACTGGGGCCAAGGAACCCAGAGGCAATTGATCCTTCCCTAGGGGCCATAGGTCAAGAACCTCCCCCCCCCCTTTTTTTTTTCCTTGAGACAGGGTCTCACTGAGTAGTTCAAGTTGGGCTTCAACTCACTATGTAGCTCAGGCTAGCCTTGAATTTGCAGTAATCCTCCTGCCTCTGCCTCCTGAATGCTGAGATTACGGGTGTGTGCCACCATACCTGGCTAAGAACCCCTCTCGAAGCTGGCACAGGACATTTTGCCCAGGTGCTGTCACACCTAGATTGGACCCGTTAATACAACATTGATTGTACACCTACTGTGTGCCTGTTTCTGTCTGGATGCAGCTTCTACAGCTGGATGACATGCTTTAGCCAAGGTGCTGTGTGACCAGGGTGAAGGTGTCTTCCTGAGAGCCGTCCTGTGTACCGGGTGTCACCTGAGCTTTCGATGTGGCTAAGAGGCCTGGCCTTGGGCTGGGCTCACCAGGAGCAGAGCCTGAGACAAGGATTCCAGTGAAAGTGATTATGGAGTGAGATCAGAAAGACAGTAGAGGAGTGGGGAAGGGGGCAGGGAGGAAGGAAGGAGGCCAGGAAGAGTGACACAGGGTCTCTGCCCCAGGCTGGGCAGGGCTGTCACAGGGTGCTCTGGGGACTCGCATTCACAGGCACTCTTGTCTGAGGGCACCTTCCCATGCAGGCCCAGTGGGTGTGCATGGCAGGGGCCCTGAGGTTCAGGGACACTCCGATGCTTCCACTGCAGCCCACCCAGCCCCTCAGGTCCACTCACTCCCCTCATTAGATTCACCCCACTGACACCCGTCAGAGCTGTGTCTGCCTTCTAGGAAAATGAAAGACTTGCAAGGGAGGTTTGAGACACAATGAGCATGTCACAGTGTCCTTTGCTCCCACTCCTGGCTTCTCATCTTTGGCCAGCATGGCTATGAGGCCCGGAGAGTAAGCTTTGAACTTGCCCCACTTGGCCCTTGCTGGGAACTGAGCCCCCACCTGCAGGCCAGGTGTATCAGGGAGTCCCAGGGATGAGCTTGTGGACTGGCCACTGTAATTGGCTCACAGCATGTGGGTAGTCAGTCTCCTGGGGCTGTCATAGGCAAGAACCACAAGTGGGGACTTGGGACACTAAATGTGTTCTCACTCAGTCCTGGTCTCAGAAAGCTGAGTTGAGGTTGTTGGTGGGGCATGTCCCTCCACTCCAGGCTGAACCCTCCCTGCCCTTTCCAGTCTTGCCCTTGGTCATGCTGACCTCAGTGGACCTCTGCTCACAGCTGCAGCTCTCACCCTCTGCCTTGGGGTCACACTGCTTCTCTTGTTGTGTCTCTATCTTTGCGTGCCATTCTCTCATGAGCACACCAGTTCTATTGCATCAGGGCCTATTCTAATAACTTCATCTTAACTTGATGATATCTGCAAAACCCCATTTCCAAATAAGGCCACACTTATAGGTCTTGGAATTAGGACTTGAATGCAGCCTTTAGGGGAACAGAATTCAACTTGTAACCTCAGATGACATAGCCAGAATTGTGACAGTTAATCTGATTTTCTTAGAATTTCAGGGAGAGAGACTGGTGGACTTTATCATCAGTGCAGCCCTGCAGATCTGAGACTTCCCATGCTGGGAGGCCAGAGCAGGCTCTCTGCTTTTACTTTTTAACCCAGTGTGTGTTGGATTTCTGGTGCTGGCCAAAGCTCAGGTTCTGCCCATTCCAAAGCACCCTGGATCTGCCAACTAGCTGTTCCAACCACCCTGGCTGCAGGAGGATTAGGGCTGGGGCTAGGGTTGGGGCTAGGGCTAGGGTTTGGGCTAAGTCTAGGGTTAGGATTAGAGTTAGGGTTAGAGTTAGGGTTAGGTCTAGGGTTTGGGGTTAGGTTTAGGGGTCAGGTTAGGGTTGGTGTTCAGGTTAGAGTTAGGGTTAGTGTTAGGGTTAGTACTAGGGTAGGTTTTGCATTAGGGTTAGGACTGGGGTTAGAGTTAAGTTTAATTTAGGGACTATAGTTCTCCTTCAGGTTAGTTTTGGGTATTAGATTTTGGTTAGGGTTTGAGTTAGGCTTAAGGTTACACTGAGGTCTAGATCTAGGCTTATATTACAACTAGGGATAGGAATAGGATAGTGGTAGGTTTACGGCTAGATGTAGCTTTGGGCCTAGGTGTAGGGTTAGGGTTAGTTTTTGGATTTGGTTTAGGCCTAGGAGTAGGATTAGACTTATGTTTTGGGTCTTGTGTTACTTCTAGCCTTAGGGTTAGGTCTAACAGTAGTGTTTGGACTACAGTAAGTGTTTGTGTTACAGATAATGTTAGAATTAGTGTTAGGTTTCTCTGTGCTATTCTATCACAAAGATACTCGCACTATATGTGTAACAACTGTGACTCTTGCCATGTTTTGTTTACTATTTCAGCTTTGTATCTGGCAAAGGAAAAAGTACTTGTCTTGATATACATCCCCCCAAATCCTCATCTAGGTTCTCTACCTGAGCCTGTCCTCCCAAGACTCTCCTGTGTGGCCCCTTTCTCTCAGCTTCTTAGCACCCCCAAGGAAGAAACCTCACACACCAGAGTGCTCAGAGAATCCACAAGTCACATGTTCATGAGTCACGTGAGCAGGAGAGTGGAGCATCTTGGGCCTGTGCTGCTCCTTCCTGGTCCTGGCTCACTAACTTGCAGTGGCCCAGGAGTCCATGATGAAGAGAAGCTTCAAGGTTGGCTGAGCTGTTAGGAGCCTGGGGAGTGGCAATCAGTGCCCTTAGGGCAACAGAACTGGCACATCTTGAATGGGAATCACTGTCCCTGTCCAGCGAAGGGTCTTTCTGGTGTCTGTTTCTGTCCCTGTCCAGGATGGATGGGCTCTGCAAAGTGGCTGGGCTGGCTAATGGCCCAGTGGCTGTGGGAGATGTGGGAAAGGCCCTGAGTTGGTCCCACAGCTTTTCTGGGCCCTCACAAATCCACTTCTCAGTCATTGCCTTGCAGAGGCTAAAGCAGAAATCAGATTTGGGCTGGCCTTGGTTGGTGAGGCAAACAGGCCCAGAGTAAAGGGCAGAGGGTATTGACTTCCTCTCCAAGGATTTGAGGGAAGAAGGGCCTGGGGCATTGCTGCCCAGGCAGAATCTCAGAGCGGAGATGGTACCACTGGTCGTGGGAGCTCCCTGGCCCTAGAGAGCCATTTTAGTATCTGGGTGTGCATATGGGGCTGAAGTCTGGGTGTCAGGAGTGGGCAAGCCTGTGGTGGGACACACTGAGGCCTGTGGAGACCTACATACTCCGGCACCCGCAGGGGTGGGAGCTGAGTAGGTAGGACAGGGTGGGCCGTCCCAGGGTGTGAGACAGACAAGCCCTCCCGGGAGAGGCGTCCACCACCCATCCACCCACTGTGCATCTGCAGCCTGCCCTGGCCTGTCTGCCTCCCCACCTCGCCCAACATTTTCCGATGGAAAGTTCCCAAGGCAACAGCAACACCAACTCATGACTGATGAGCCTGGGCAGGGGTAGGCCTGGGGGTCATAGGCAAAGGAGGGGTGGGGAGGGTGGGGCTGGCTTTGGGCCTGGGACTCTCAGGACTGTCAGCAGCTGAGAGGCCAGTCCACACCCCAGACAGGGATGACTCTTGGGAGGCCAGAGCCTTCATAGTGTTAGACACAGGTGGGCTCTTGGCTTGTCACAGTGTCTACTCCTAGGGAGAAAAATCAGTGGGGGTGGGAGTAGAAGGATAAGGCAGTAGGTGGGCCCATGCTAGAGCTCACAGCCTACAAAGCACCCCATGAACCTGCAGAACAGCAGGGACCTAGGAGTTCCCACACCTTCTGATGGGGTGTTGCCACCTCCTTGTCTGGCAGGCCTTCAAGGAGGGGACTTCAGGCTGGAGGAGGAGCAGGTTCATTTCTGGGCCCAGTGGAGAAAGGTGTGGCTGAGCTGTCTGGGTGTGGGGAAGCCTTGGGTGGGGCAGCTGGAGAAGGGTGAAGAGGAATCAAGGACCACACCCTCGAGAGGCAGATGAAACCCAGAGGTTCCTGGGGTCTTCATGGCTGAGAAGAACTCTTCTGTGGCTCCCCAGCCCCCACTCCCAGCAGTGTGTGCAGTGTCCCTCCCTCCTCTGACCATCCATAGGCTGGGCTTGGGGACCACTGTGGCAGCACCTTACTCAGGCAGAGCTCAGCCCCACAGCAGCAAGGTGGCTTGGATGAGCCTGGGTGGGGAGTGAACTCCTTGAACCCCCCCCCCCTTTTACCCCACACTGTACAGGGAACTGAGGGGAGGCGCAAGAAGCTCCAAATGAAGCCCCTTTCCCAGCCCCTCCCCCACAGCATGGCTGAGGCCAGGCACGGGTTTCCCAGGAAACGGGAAGAAGGAAAGAAAAGTGTTGAGGCCAGACTGGCTGGACTGATAGCTAGAGCGGGCTGAACAGTGCCTGAGGGAAGCCCAGGTGCTGGACGTGGGTGGAAGTGGTGCTGGACTCCTCCAGCCCCCCAGGCTCACTCTAGGCTGCCCAGGCTGAGGCCAGCAGCAGAGAACCCTGGAAGGTAAGTCCTCGCCCAGCCTGTACCCAGGGCGCGGGGTACAAGAAGGCCTTTGGCTCCCAGGCCCTGATCTGGATCCTTCTGCCCCAACAGGGCTATCCTTGGTGTCCTGGTCCCCCTCCCCCTCTTGGAGTCCATCATGGGAAACTGGGCCTCGAGGCTAGGCTGCCTGGGGGAAAGGAGAAGCCGCTTGAAGGCTGGCCCCAAGGCCCAAGAGGGCCCCACCCCATCTGCAGACCTCCAAGGCCTGCACCCACCAGGAGTCTCCTGGGCCTGGTGGGGTACCCATGCCATCCAGGTGACAGAAGTGACAGAGACGGTGGTGACAGAGACTGTGGTGACAGAGGCTGTGGAGGTGGGGCCTGGTCAGCAAGGAAGGCAGCCAACCCAGGTGAGGCCAGGCAGCCTGGGGGCTGGCACTGTGGAGAGGCAGCAGGCTGAGCCTATCCATCTTGCAGGCACCCCCTGAGCTCCTGAATACACTGCAAAGCTGGCTGGATGGTATGGAGGAGCTGCAAGCCTCCCAGGGACCTCTGGCTGCTGATGCCACAGTGGCTGCTGCCCAGTTGCAGGAGCAGGAGGTAGATGGTGTGGGGAACAGAGTCAGGTGGCAGCACCTAGTCCTGAGCCTCAGGTCAAGCCACCAGCACACAAGACTGCTCCACCAGGAGCAGGACCACAACAGATTCCCCAGGGATGGGCTGAATGCAGATACCTGTTCATATTCCCATGGCCAGTAACCCCTTAAGGAGGCAGAGATGGGAGGATGGGGCATGAGCTTCCAGAACACAGTGTCCAGCTCCAACCTCATGTCCCCAAAGCTGCTCCAGTGCCTGCTGGAGGAGCGGGCACCACAGATAGAGCCAAGGCTGCGGGAAGCGGGGAGCCCGGCAAAGCTGTGCGCACAGTGGCACCGCTTGGTGCAGTGGGCAGAGACCAGGTGAGGCCCTAGGGTGAGGGTGGAAGGGTCCCAGGGGAGGGAGAGTGATGCCAACTGACCCATCTTGGTCCCTAGGTTGGGGGTGCTGCAGCAGCTTGTCCCAGCAGCACAGAACTTTGATGCAGCCCATGAGACCCTCCTGGCACGGCTGGGCCCGGGTGAGCGGCTCCTGGCTGAGCTGGGACAGGGCCAGCTGGGACCTACAGGCCAGGAGAGGGTCATGCAGTGCTTGCAGGTATGACCCAAGCCCAGGGTGGGGGCTGGTGGGCTGGCACAGAGCTCAGTGGGATATGTTCACAGCGTGTGTGCAAGGGAGCTACAGCATGTGCTGAGGACCTGGGGAGGGCACTGGAGACTGGTCAGAGGCTGGCAGAACTGCTTGCAGGTGAGTGGACATCAGCCAGGTCACTCAGGTGGGCCAACCAAGCCTGCCAAGATGGCTTCAACCTCCTCCAGCCCCTCATACTTCCTGATCCCCAGTCCAAGTTCCTCCAATGCCTTTGTCCCTGCCTGGTCCTCAAGGGCCCCTCCAATGCCCATGTCTTGGTCCTGGCTTGTCTCCTGGCATGTTTTGCAGAGGATGAAGCTCGGATTGTAAACCAGCAGTTAGAGGGACTCCAGGAATGTGTGAAGCTGACTTTGTCTGGTGCTGTCCGAGTTTGGCAGATGCTGCTATGTGCCCAGAAGATAGGGTCCTGTGAGCTCTTACCCCCAACAGGCCTAGAGGCTCAGCTTGATCTGGAGGGGGTAGCCTCAGAGGGTCCAGGGCTCAAGGATCAGGAGGAGGTATGTATCTCCTTGCCTCCAACCCCCAGAAGAGGGCCCTACCATCCCTGGCCCAGTTTGGGGATTACAGTCCTCCACCCTGGGGAGCAGGGATGGCTGGGAGTCCATCCTCAGGGCCCTCTGTCCCCAGCTGGGGTGCTTGGAACAATTCTGGTCTCTTCCCCCAGCTGAGTGTCCAACTGGCCCAGCTGTCAGAGTGGCTTGAACAGCTGGCATCGCAGGCAGAGGCCCCTGGCCAGGCAGTAGCACCCATGGTGCCCATCCAGGAGCAGTGCCTCCCACCAAGTACCCTGGGGGCTTCAAGGGTACAGCCAGGCCTGGTAGGTGAGGGTGAGGCTGTACCTAAAGATGGGTTCTCAGATGGTTGTGACTGTCCCCAGCTGTGCTACAGGTAAAGCTGGAAGCCCTGAGAGGGTGCTGGTCAGAAACTCAGGAGCAGGATGCTGGGCTGAAGACCACATGGGAGCCCAATGGATTCCATGTGGCCTGGCTGAGCCAGGACTGAAGGCTGAAAGGACTGAAGCCGGAGGGTGGCTGGGTCCCAGGCTTGTAGGTGCTGGGTGGAATGGAGGAGAGTCCTTTCAGAGTTCCCTGAGAGAAAAGGGGTGACCACAGGGAGGCTGAACAAGTAGGGGACCTGAGGTTGAGCTGCTGCCTGCTGGTGAGCCAAAAGGTATGGCAGGGGAAAGGAGCAAAGTGGGGCCATTGGGTCAGCTGGAGGAATCTGGTAGCAACTTCATGGGTTGACCTGTGCTTCCAATAGCCTCTGGTCCCCCAAGATATGGCCACTCTGCTCTCCCAGCAGGGTCAGGGCTGGAGGTGCCAGACAAGGGCCACACTGTGCAGCTTCTAAGGGATAGGGTGAGAAACAGAGAGGGCTGAGGAATATGGGCACACTGTCCAGCTTTTCTAGCCAACTAAGATCACAGTACTGGGCAGGGGATTTAGCTCAGTGGTTCCGCTGCCTGCCTCCCAAGTGCAAGGTCCTGAGTTCAACCCCCGGTACCAAAAATTAAAATTAAAATTAAAAAACCCCACACAGACAGGGCTTCTCTCCAGGGTTTAATGCAACCTTGATGCCAGAGGGGACTCAGTCACATCTGTAGGGTGGGAACAGAGGGGCTTGCCTGGGGGCTGCATGAGTTTCAGGTCCTCTCCACCCGCTGGTGTTTTTCACACCACTGGGACTGGATTAGTTTCCCGGGCGGCAGTAACCAGCTGCCACAGACCAGGAGGCTCAACCTATAGGAACAGACTCCCTGTGCTCAAGTATAGGTGGATGGGTGCTCCTGCGGGCCCAGAAAGCGTTTGGAGCCCACCTTTCCCTGGCTTGTTGATAGCATCTTCTTCCTGTGCGTGTCTGTGTCCAAATGTCCCCCGTTTCAAGGATACCAGTGACGTTGGTGGCCCTACTCCAGTGTGATGTCACCTGGAGAACAGACAGGTCACCAAACTGTTCTGCTGGCAGGAGTTCTCATGGGGACAGCAGACCTTAGTGGTGTCTTGGCCGTGGAGGGGCCCAGAATGGCAAGGAGGGATCAACTTCGAGGGCACCTGCCACCTGAGTCTGCTGATGAACCTGCCAGGCAGCCAGGCTGCCATGTCCTGCCCTCCCAGGGAGAGGTCAGCTTATCACTTGATACTCCCCACCTATTCCCCTGGTCCTCCATACGGCCCACATCTGCCATGTCTCCTCTCCAGGCCTCTCAACCTGGAAGGGCCACTGCTGCTCATAGGTCACCTCTTGGAGGAGCCGCTTACATGCCCCCATGGATTGAGCCAGGCTGAGCCCCTCAGGACCAAGGTGGGGCCTATGACCAGAAGCTCCCACCTGCACAGTGACTTTGTGGAACAGCCCAGGGTCAGCATTATGCCCTGCTCTCAGGTGTCCTGGGCCCTCCTCAGCCCATGTCCTCTGAGAGCCCCTATGACCCACAGGGGGATGCTGGGCAGCACAGGCAGAGGCACTGGCTTCAGGCAGCAATGTGTAAAGCTGTGGGCAATGTTGAGTACAGGGGCCCACCTCACTCAAATCCTGATACTTTCACCCCTCTCCATTCCCTCATAACCCTCCTCACTGCATAGGTGGCACATGCCCAGGGCTGGAGGCTGGAGGTGCTTCCTGCAGTCCTGGGGGCTGATAGGTGGAAGCCCTGGACTGCAGTCCCAGTGCAAGTGCTAGCTCAGAGGGGCCCTGACCAGGCTGGCCTCCTAGGGGTGTCCCTAGAAGAGCTGAGCTGGAGGCTTCCACGGGCAGAGGCCACCAAGGGGAGCTGGAACCACAGGAAGTTGGAGACCAGGGAGAGGAGTTGGCAAGACAAAGATCACCCTGAGCAGGTGAGGGGACAGCACACTGCCCACCCTGGGCACACCAGAGTCTTGGCCTGGCCAGCTTACACTTCCTCACTTGGCTGGCATATACGTGGATTTTTTGGCCTGGCAAGGATGCTATCTGCACTGGCTTGGCCAAAGAAAGAAGGGGGCCTGGGGTCTACTCGCACCTTAAGCCACAGCTAACACTGCCACTCTTCCCGGCAGGATCTCATTGACAATGTGTTGGCATCTGATGAGCAGGGAAAGGATGGATTGGGCTGCCTGGCTACCTCTGGGGGACATGAGCCCACATCCCAGGTCATCACCATGCTGGTGTCAGAGCTCCCTAACGGCCAGCAGCTACCGCCACATAGCATGGCCAGAGCAGGGGACACAGATGGGAACAAGCACACAGGTTGCCAGAGATGGGTCCACAGTCCAGGGAGCCTTGGTGAACAGGTGAGTTTGGGTGGGACGGGTGTGTGTGTGTTAGGGTAGAGCCCCGGAACCTGTTCCCATACCCCACAGGAGGCCTGACCTGACCCTCCTGAGTCTGTGCAGGTGGCTCGGGGTGCCCTGATGGTTCGTGTTGGAGGAGGCTGGGTGGCTCTGGATGAATTTCTAGTCAAGAATGACCCAGGCCGAGGTGAGGGGGAGGGTGGGGGCTAAAGTAAGCCTCAGGCCCTGCCCAGGAGGGGTGAAGGGCATGTACCGTAGCCCTGACCCCCACCCCACATGGGATCTCTGGGCAGCAAAGGGGAGGACCAGCCATAAGATCCACGAGAGGTTCCAGTGCTGTGCGGGGGCTCAGAAGAGCAGGAGGGCTCAGGATATCATCACCCTGAGGCTCTGGGCCTCCATCCCCAGTGCCTCCAGCAGACCCCTGCCTCGGAAGGTGGGTGTTGGGATGGGCTTCAGGGAGGGGGTTAGGTACTCCTCTGTGCACAAGGGACCTTCTCTTGAGACCAGGTGGAGCGGCTGGGCATGGGGGTAAGGCCTGGCCACCGCTCCCAGACAGGAATGCTAACCTGCTCGGCATACAGAGACCCCTGCCTTTCCAAGGTCAAGGCCACTGAGAGGCCCAAGGAGCAAAAGCCCGGAGGACACCAGGACCCAGGAGACACTGGACAGAAAGCAGTTTGTGGAATCATCCTTAGGGGGCTGAGCAGGTCCCAAAGGACAGGGATGGATGAGGAGTGGCTGGGAACAGCAAACCTCAGTGTGCTTGGCTTACGCCTCTCGGGCAATAAAAGGCAATAAAGTCGAGTGTGGGGAACCGAAACTGCAAGTCCGAAGGTCCACATTTCCCTTGCAAAGTCCACTCAAAGGCAGTCGGGGCAGGCGCAGGTCACTCTTCGATCCACCCTCGCGCCCTCGCCCCGCATTCCTCCACAGTGACTCGAAGTGGGAGGGGCCGGGCAGGGTCCCACACTCCGCTGCCCCTCCTCGCCGCCGAGGGGTGTTCACCGGCTGCCCAGCTAGCCCCAGGTTCCAGAACCGGCACCTGCAGCCCCACCTGACCGCCACCCTGCTCCCCGCCCCGGCCCCCGCCCCCTGACGGAGGGCGGGGCCGCCACGACTCTAGGCAGGGGGTTTAAAGGCGCGGGGCGTGGGGCCTGGAGAAGCTGAAGAGCAGAGGAGTGGAGGGACTTCGGACTCAACGCCGGCGCCTTGTGGCAGGTGCGGATCTGCGAAACCGAAACACCTTCTTCGGGAGCTGAGGCAGAGGCCTACGCTGCCCGAGGTCCTGGCTGGGGGCGTGGTGGAGGGGCGCACTGGCCCGGGCTCCTGTCTCTACCTGGCCGGTCTCCTGTCCTGGGCACTCTGAGCTCTCGGGTTACGGTTGGAGAGGTTGAGACCCAGGCCTGGGCATGCCCGGGGCGGGGATCTTGCTGGCCCGGGGGTTCTGGGCAGGATGGGTGCTTGCACTGCCAAGTGGGCCGCAGGTCCCTTTCCTCCGGCAGTTGACCACTCGCCTTCCATTTGTTAAGGAGGCATCTACCGAGCTGCTCGGGGCACCCACGCAGGAGGTAATTAGGCTAACAAATTGAGAGAGAAGCTCCTGGCAGCATTTCTGGGGTAGGGAGGTGGAACTTCCCTGTGGAGGAGCTACCTGCTGTCTGGGATCAGGGGCCGCTGGGAAGGAGAGGCAGGAAGGTCTCTGCCTCCATATCCCCAGCAACTCATCATGCCAGCCCCTATGAGGGCCATTGCTTTCTGTCTGCTTGGGCAAGGTGCAGGTGGGTAAAGTCTACTAGCTGTCCACAGGGAGGCAGAATCAGCCTGGCCTCCTGGTTCTGTTCTGGCCTGACTTCAGGGACACCTTGTCCTCAACCAGAATGGAGGTCCACCCTTTTGTGTGGTGACAGATGGTGGCCCATACCAAAGTGATGTGTATCCACCCAGCTCAGGAATGGCCTTCCCACCCTTTGGCACCTGGGGGGCATCTGAGGTGGGACCCTACAGGGAAACAGGAGGGGCCTGCTTTCCTTCAGGTGCCTTTTGCCAGGGAAATCTCCACCCCCTGACCCCAGTCCTTGAAGGCTACCAGCCTCTTTGTCACACACACAGCTCACTTATGCTGGTGACCCACTCTCTGGAACACTGATCTTTGTTTTGGGGTGTTTTTTGTTTTTGTTTTTTTGGTACCGGGGATTGAAATCGGGACCTTGTGCTTTCAAGGCAGGCGTCAGAACCACTGAGCTAAACCCCCGGCCCCCCGAAACACTGATCTTTGCCCAGGCCATCTATCTGCTTCCTGGCAGATCCTACTCCAGACACCCCTAAACATCCTAGTCTGTCTCTGTCCAGCCACCTTGCCAGGCTCCCACCACAGGCGATAGACATCCTGGTGGTGGCCTGGGAAGAGGCAAGGCCTGGCAAGACTCCTACCCTCAAGGTCACCCACAAGCCAACAGGGCATGGTGCAGCCAGCCATAGGCTGAACCTCACACACTAGAACTCACAGTGGAGCCTTCCATTCCCCCACCCCATTTCCTGCTGAGGCTCCCTGGGTCAGCAGGCTTCTCCCTAAATCTCCTTTGTTCAGGGAACTAGAGCCACTGACCAAGCTTACCTTGGCTCTCTGGTTTCTCATCCAAGTGTTGCCCTTCTGTACATGGCCTGTCCAGCTGGCTAACCATGTCCAGGGCAAGAGCCACCCAAGGCCATGCCTACCTCCTGGCTGACCCTGCCCCACTGTGGCCCCAATGCCCTGTGTTCCACCTTTGCTGGGGAGCAAGCTGGCTACCAACACTTGTCCCTGGGCAGAGGTCAGAGGACGGGCATCTGGCCCTAAGACAGCCCAGTGGCCCTCCTGCCTGTGATCTGTCCTGACCCAGCTGGGCTGAACAGCACCATGCATGAGGCCCTCAGGCTCACAGGCCCTGAGAGGCAGTGCTGTACAGATGGGCACCAAAGGTGCCTGGGCAGGTTCAGTAAGTAGAGTCTGAAGCAGAGGTGATTAGGAAAGGGGGACAAGATGGCCCTCACTGAGGGAGGAGGAGGCGGGTTGGCAGGGGCAGGTCCCTGAAAGCAGGTCTGGGCAGCTGTGTCTACCATGGCCACACTGTGCCCCAGAGCTAGCCTCCAGGATGCTCTGAGCCTCTTCTTGAGGAAGTGCTTTAGATGGACCAGCCATTTTGAGGTTCACTCTTCTGGTCTTGGGCCCCCTCAGTGGAATTGCCTATGCTTCCTGGACCTATCAAGATAAGAGCCCCGAAAGTGTCCGGCTGCTCACTCAAAGCCTTTTGTGATCTGTTCCCAAAGCTTGGTTGCTTAGAAAGAGTCCTCATCAGGCTGTCTCCTGTCCTCTGCATCCTCTCCACTGCTCTGGACGGTATCCCATGCCCCTTTTGGAAAGCTGAAAGATTGCACCACTTCCTGGAGGCTCGGCTCTGTCCACTCCTCCAGAAGGCAGTGGGAGATGGACTCTGTTGGCCCTGTCAAGGTATCTGCCTGGTCTTAGCAATGATGTCCAAGAGTCTGTAGTAGGATGCTCCAAAATGAAGGAAAGGGAAAGGCAGGATTTTGCAAAGGTGTGTGTGTGGGGGGGCGGGGGCTGGGACACAGTCTTAGGGGTAGCCCCATGGGTGCTTAGAAGCTGTGACAGCCCTTAGAGTCACCCCAAGTCATGTGAAAGAACTGAGCCTCTCATTGGCCACTCCAGAAAGGAGGTGCCCTGGGCTGAGGTGGTTCCTGAAGGGACTGACAGTGGATCTGTGTGCCCATAGCCCTCCCTAAGCTGGGTGACATCTGCATACCCACCAGGACATGTGACATCAAAGCTCCCGGTTTATCACGGACTGGGTGATAAACTCATTTTACCCTCAACCCCACTCTTCACCATTCACCTGCTTCTCATGCACATGGTGTTGGGAGGGCAGAGACCCCCTGAGGTGGCCAAGGATGGTCAGGGAGGCTCCCTGATATGGACGCCCAAGCAGCAGGAACAGGAAGGCTGCCAATGAGGTGCCAGGACACAGGTGAGGGAGGTGCACCAGTGTGGAGTGGCATCCTGCAGACGAGCTGTGGGGAGAATCTTGGTGCCATCCAGGGGCAGAGTGAGAGTGGGTGGAGGGCACCCAAGACTGCCAGATGAAGGCCCTCTCTCCTCTTGATGTCCTGGTCACCAGCAGCACTGAGCAGCTTGCTGGGCCAAGCTGTAGATTTTGGGGTCTGAAAGCAGGCTGGGGAGCTTTCTGATTTTATTGCTAAATGGAAGCAAAGCAGGATCCTATTACTCAGGCAACACTCCACATATCCCTAATAGTCAGATCCAAAGTGCATTTGTTGAATTAGACAAAGTGAGTGGGGTGAATGTGGTTGGGGCCAATCCCTCAGACCTTGCAAAGAGGGAACAAGCCCATTGGGGTCCTGGATGGGCTTCTGAGCAGAGGGAAGGGTCCGGTAGCACTGAGAGTATGGAGCAATAGAGGGGCCAGGCCTTGGTTCTGAGGACATAGGGTGCAGGCCCAGCTTGTCAGGGCAGGTGAGTACAGGGTAGGGGCGGGGTGTACAGTGAGCCAGACTGGGGCCAAAAACAGCACAGTCCAGAGTTCTGTGATCAAGGTGTGAGAGAACACATTCCCTCCACAGGCTTCTAGGGGAGGGCTCTTCCTGCCCTTCCCAGCTCCTGGTGGCTTCAGGCTGTCACATGGCCATCTTCTCCTATGTGTCTGACTTATAAGGACACTGGGTATACTGGATTAGGGCCAGCCGCTTGCAGTATGATCTCATCATAATTAAGTCCACAGACATCCTGTTTCCAAATAAGGTCACACTCTTCACAGGTACTATAGGTTAGGACATTGATGAATCTTTTTTGAGCAGTCAGTCCAGCCCAGCTCAGAAGGGGACAGGCCTGGGCAGCTATAGTTGGTGGAGTACTAGGGCCTGGAGCTAGATTACCAGGGCCAGGCAGGGGTTGGGTAGGAAACATGTTTGTGGGGACTGGGGCCTCCATGGCAGAGGAGCAGAGGGGCCATAGCAGGGCTCATGGGGCAGACTGAACTCTCAGCAGTGCTATGGGCAATGAGAGGCCCAGGAAGGGCCCCACTTTCCTGCCTCGGGACCCTGGGGTCCTGGAGTGGAGGTCAGAGGATGATCCAGCGAGAGAAACAGCCCTCAAGCCCTGACAGGCAGCCTGCTGGCCAGTCCTGGGTCCCTGTGGGCACACTGTCCCTTAAGTCTACTTTGGTTGCTGAGTAGCACCTGTCGCCCCTCCACAGGTGACCTGTGGGCAGAGAGATCCCCCCTCCCATAGAGTACCCCCTATGTCCCAGGAGGCCAGCTGCGCCTGGGCCCTCCGCTACCATCCCACGCTCTTGGGCTTCAGCTGGGGGAGGTCTGGAATTGACCTCATGACTGTCTTCCCTGCCTGCCCACCCACTCAGGGTCCCTGATTGAGACTTTTTGTCTCCTACAGGAAACGAGTGGACCTTGGGCGAGTTCTGCACCATCAGCTGTGTGCAATGAATGGCCAGGCTTCTCCTCTTGATGTCCTGGTCACCAGCAGCACTGAACAGGCACCAGTCACCAAAAACATGAAGGCTGGGCTGGGAGCCAGCAGCCCCTCCAGGACGCATGTGGAGACAGCCCTGTGCACCAAAGCCAAGAGCATTGCTGGGGTGTACGTGGAGGCCTCAGGGCAGACCCAGAGCATCTATGCTGCCACCAAGCATGGTCTTCTGCCCACTGTGCTTGGGCTGGCTCTGCTGGAGGCCCAGGCAGCCACTGGGGGCCTTGTGGACCCCATTCAGGGCCAACTGCTCCCT